ATTTTAATTAAATTTATCACATTATGACACTTAGATTGATATTTTAACACCACTGATGCTAAATAATATTTTCGAAATTGATAATATACCATTTCTGAGGAGAAAGAATTTCAATATGGTTGGTATGAATTTATTTCCAAGGTAGCTCCCATAAGTTTCTCACCATATATATTTTGGGACGAATCTTGACGTACAAGTAGGAGTTCACAGAATTCATACCAATCACGACATCTTTTTTGTTTTTTGGGGGGAGGGGTTTAGCCAATTTTTTGTACAAGGGGGTTCTACCCCTACCTGGTAAAATAGCAAAACTCTATATTTTGGTGTATATGGAAAATTGCGCGGTCGACTATTGTTCTTTCCATTTATTTCAAAATTTTAATTTGGGAGTAATTTATTCGCGATTTCTATGTAAAACAAAACTTAAGGTTCCATTTAATTTGGGCTTCACTTAGCTCAAATTGCTACTTTGGGAGTAATTTATTCACGAATTCTATGTAAAACTTAATGTCCCATTTCACTTGTGCTTCAAATTTTAATTTTTGAGTTTTGAATTTATTTCCAGCCTTTTGTTTTGAAGGCCTGTTCAAATATTGTAGAAAATGAGTTCAGTTTATCATTTTAAAAAATTGTTTCTTAAAACAAGAAACTGACAAACATATTTGATTTTAAAATTTTAAAAATTGTTATATGATATTTTATTTAATAAATTTGATTATTCTGTACAATAGAATAACTTCATACTAATATATTATACAATCATGTACATTTTAAAGTTGGGTAAATCTTATAATATTTTTTTCCGCTACAAAAATAAAATACAACTAAATAATAAATTAATTTTGACAAAAAGTAAAACAATGACGTGAATTGAGAATAGCAGAAGTGTAGAACCCAATTTCACACCACACCACCACATTTAGGATTATGGCCGTCTCATCTTTGCCGGTTCTAATTTGTATTGTGAAATTGGGTTATGAAAATTTGAGTTTGATTGGAATTATGATTTGGGGGGCTCTGCATTGATTGCAATGGAAAATCGACCGAAGGTGATGGTGGGGGTCGTGAGAATGGTGGTCTTGTGAAAGGGGTAGGAAAGGGTTGGTGGTGGAAGATAAACGAATGAACCAGATGAAAATGACCATTTGTGACATGTTGATTAATGCAAACATATTTCTCATGTCATGGAAGAAGTAATAACATAGTAGCGAATATTTAACTCACATTCATAGTTGCCTCTATGACTTTTTAGAGCAAAGATCTAGCATCGCATTCTAGACACAACTCATTGGTATGAATTAAGTTAAAGTGACATGAAATAGATGATAGAAGGTATGACAGTTTCTCACACGCATGGAACTCGTGAAAAAAAAATGTGGGATTGTCACCTATTGTGAATGTCGGTCAAGGGAGGCTGTGACAACCTCCCTATTAGTATAGCATATTCCTCATTTGTATAGACAGGACCGACTCTAAGCTATGCAGGATGTAAGAATGCACATTCCCCATAATTATAAGACAACCCTAGTTATAATGTGTTACATATGTAACACATTATAACTAGGGTTGTCCTATAATTATGGGGAATGATTTTTATTTTATTTTTAATTTAAGGAGACTATTGTTCACCCACTAAATCAAGTCGATTTAAAAGACTATAGCAAATAACTAAGCCGAATCACTTCACAGGCAAAGCCTTCTTCACAAAGTATGCCATTGGTCCCATTGCTACTACTTCTGATTAGGCCTGGACGTAATTTGGTTTGAATTAGTTTCGCTTCAACTCGAAATCAAAATCAAATTGTCAGTTTGGATGAATTTTAACCCAAACCAGTCACTCTTGCTCTTAAATCGAATCGAACCAAATCGATTTGGTTTGGTTAGTCTGTTTGAATTTTTAGTCCAAGTTAAATTAAAAAAATAATAATAATAGTCCAAAATTTGGGTCCAATTAGATTATAAGAAATAATCTAACTAAATAACCTTATATTACAAGATTTATTGATTAACAAATAAAATAAAATTAATAGAGATAGATAAACAGAAAATTTAAAAACTTTTTTGCTTTTTTATGCATTATGTAGCATGATTGCCTAAATAAGGAAAAAAGGTTAAGTATAACTTAATGAGCTTGTAAAAGGGAAATTCTAAGGCTATTACTTACTGGCAACATTATAGATTGGAGATGATTAAAATATAGTTATGAGATTATGAATAATTTTTGATTTTTATTTTTCTTAAAAAAATAAAAATAAACATTTAAGTAGGTTGGGTCTTTCGGTTAACCAGCAATTTGAGGTTTCAAACCATAATTGAACCGATTCACTATAGTTTTGTTTAAAAAAAATCAAACCAAACCAATTATCCGTGTCAAATAGACCTGAGCTGATTTGATTGATTTGGTTGAATTTTTTGCCCAATTCTACTTCTGATTCACCAAACAAATGAATTGATAGTGTTAATGTATGACTATTATCGTTGATGTTTCATTTTGTCATTAAATAATATTTGTTATTTATTTATAATTTTTCAAAAATATTTTTTGCATTTGTAATCATGAACATAGGATTAAGCGCCTTCAATTGCTTTGTGATGTATGAGCTAGGTATTTGTGTAGAGAAACACAAATATTATTTGGATCTTAAAAAAAATTTCCATTTTGAGTATTGGCATTAGAACATTAGTATATCTTGGAATGTATTGGACATGACACGTATAAATTAATTTTTATATTATGAACATGGACATAAATTAATATATACTATACTGTCATATAGATTACCTAAATTCATTATGGAGTAGTGATTGCTATTCGAGAACTCAATTTGACATATAGAGGAGAGAAATTATTTTCTTGTTCCTCTTGTGTGATGTGATTCCAACCCAAGAGTGAACTAACTCTTGGAATTGGTTTTTTTCCTTGGTACCACTTATCAGTGCACTTTTAACTTGAAATAATACCAATAAACACTAGGGGTTTGAAGCTTGGTGATCAAGGATATTGGAATTTGTAGTTGTTCGATCCGTAATTTGGAACCAAGAATTAACCACACTTCGAGTGTAAATTTACGTGGTTAATTTAAATAAAAAAACTATTCTTTCATGATATGTAAATAAAAAAATAAAATAAAAAAGTACTATACTTTTGTAATAGAGTTCTACTCTTTTACAACTTGACAGGATGCCACGTGGCATCATGCCAATGGGCAGTGTCCAAATAATGCAGTATTCGTAACCAATGCAATTCTGTCAACACTACATCTAACACTTGCACTCTGTACAAATACTTTGCAATACAATAGCTTTATATTAGTGAATTAGTATAAGATCTTTATTTTTTTGCTTTATAAACGTTTCTTTATTAAGTGAAAGATGGACATGCTTTTAGATTTCATGCACGGCACCCCCACTCTCAGGGACAACCTTGGGTAATTGATATTGTTAGGTTATGTAAAGTCAAATTTGCTTAATTTTTTTTTTCCATGTTCTATAAAAAATAAAATAAAATAAAAAGGAGTGAGATCCCTTCTCCCATTCTAAAAAAATAATGAATATCACATCCAAGAGTGATCTACAACGGACCATTTGATCTTCAATTAAGTTCCCTTCCCAGTGTTACATACCGAGCAAACTTCCCTCCCCATGTGGCACAACAACATCGCCAACACTTGGGTACCGATCTCTACCCATAAGTAAGCATAAGTACCGATTATTTCGGGCTTGACAACCTGTGCAAGGGGAGAAGGCTGTCTCGAGAAGCAGAACCTTGGGGACCGCACAAGCGATCCGTGAAACCAAGGCTAGCTAGGTTTGTTTGTAACTCATAATGTACCATGAAATGGTAGTCTCTTGCCCCCTTGTCAAATCCGCTCTTGGATCGTTGCTTTGTCGTGTCTTGCCCATTTTCTAACATTTTTGGAAGGCAAGGAATGTGACAACTTACACACTTCTCTTTAATGCACATGGCCTTTTCCTTGATTGCAGGTTTCGTAGCTCAAATGACTTCGCTCAAAGGTTTCATGTCTAAAGGCTTGTCGTCTCGCAAGGCTTCCTTCCTATAGTAGGTTCGGAACTTTGTCTTGCTCTTGTAATATGCCATATTTTACTCTCTTTTCACTAGTATACATATTTAAATGGAGAATGACAAAGTGCCCGAATTTTGGTAACCGATCCTCACATGGAGCGTGGACCTCGCGTGAATAAAATAATGCCCTATCCCTGAGGTGTGAGTGTTCGGTCGTCCTGCATGTCAACAATTATGCTTGTGTAGCATGACCCTATTCAAATTGGATTGCGGTACAATATTGTCACGTCTCCCAAGAATTCGATTAAATGAAATAAGGGTTGGTTGATCCTTTTGTGGTCGTCCTTAGATATTATTAGTAAAATAATGTCTTCTTGTGAACAATGTTCTCTAGGACATACTTGACTACTTCAAACAAAACGTGAAACGCATGTCCTGTCGAGGTGTGAACCGTGAAGTATATTATTGCTGAATTCTAATATTATAAAAATCAGTTTATTAATAAATGCACTGCATTGTATTTTTTATTTGATGGTCTTTCAGAATATAGATATATAATATTACTGTATACTTATGAATATATCACCTCAATATAAAATTTAGTTATTTTTATATTATGATGCAGTCCCATACGATATTTATTTTGGTTTTAATATGAATTCTGGTCAATGGTTTTATGTTCATCCGTCTATTCAACAAATTAAATTAACTACGTTTACTCATCAAATTAAGAGAAGCAAATTGGTCAAATTTAATTTGTTTTTTGTTTCTATATTTTATGAATGCCGTTGATCGTACTCTGTGTGTGTGTGTATATATATAGAGAGAGAGAGAGGGGTCCGTGACACAACAAATATTATATATAAAAAAATGATATCGTTCTGGATAGAGAGAAGCATATTAATTTTAATGACGAATATGCATTTTTATAAGTTAACTTCGTTTTCAAAGAGATACAATTAGGTATATATCATACTTGGCAAAAGATCTTTTCGACTTTTTTTAATTGTGTCAACACTTTATAATAATCACTTGAAAGGACATGATAATGAGTTTTACATGTACAATTTTCGATTTTTTGGCTTGGTTAATTTGGGCAACAGCCAGTGTGATAGGGATATCCATATTATGAACTACTAGATAAACAAAACTACCATAAAAAATGTCGTTACCAAATCAAATAGTCCTGCATTGCACATCCGAGGAGAATTGGAATTTTGGGGACTACCATTTGAATCAGCAGGTGGTGGGGTCCTTACCGGAATCGTAACTGGAGCCAAAGGTTCTGGTGATGGCGGAGATGGGGCTGCAGCCACCGGAGTACCTCCTCGGGTACCGTTACTAGGACAAGAAGGTGGGACTACGTTAGGCTGGGGCATAATTGATGTGGCCTGTACTACTCCATCTATGCCATGGCATCTTATAGAAGACCCTCGAGTACAAATATTAGGACTAATAATTCTAACGTTGTTGAGAAAAAACCGGCTTCGGCCGTCGTTTGAAATTTTGAGGACAAAGCCAGGCATAGATGTTGGGATCAAGGAACCTGTGGGGAAATGCAGGAGGTGTTCCATAAGAAGAGGCGAAGGGATTGAGTGGTGGAGCAAGAAGTCGACCACTCTGTTTTCGGGCATCCCGGTTTTCGCAAGAATCCGGTCGTTAGGCATCAAGAAAGTGATGTTGCCATTAACAAGATCAGAAGGGGCCATCTTTATGAGCATTACAAAAGTGAAGTAATTGGCTCTCTGCATTTCTTCTATGGCTGTAGTCATGGCTTGGTTTCTTGAAGTGTCTGTGGCAGTGGCTGATGATACGAGTACCACAAGAAGAATTAACAAAGCCATGACGTAATAAGTGGACAATGAAATTGAAATGACAACTTTTGGGCACATTAATGTTAGCGTAGATATAACTGCAATGTTAACAGGTTTTCATTTTAATTTTTATTTAAATTTCCTGGTTATCTTGATCATGCATACTTGCTGCTGTAACAACTAAGGCTCATCCTTATTGCATGAATAGGATATTTTCTTCTTTTATACCATTTTCTTTTCTTTCGTACACCGAACAGGGATCGGGAAGCCCGAGGCCCGCATTTTCCAACTCCAATCACATCCCGACTTGGCTTGTGCAGGATTGAACTTCTAAACCATGTTTGGCATGCATAATGGAATAAGACTACACATTCAGAGAAGAGAAACATGCAAGATTTTGTCTATTATCCTCCATTTCCGCCCATATTTCTTAAGAGTGTATACGAAAAGAATCATAAATAGAAAGAAGATTAGGCTAAATAGATTACTCAATTAGAAACCATACCTAGGATCATATTCATATGCAAAATATGCTGTTAACAAATCCTTACATGGCAAATATCCTGCAGTTCCACTGTAAATAGAATACACAATTCTGCTCAAATAATGTATTATAAAGCACAATTTTCTACGAACGAAAGAGTGTGACGGTTTTAGAATTGAAGTTAAAAATATCAATCTAGCTTCACATCAACATTGTCCAAGGCCTTGGAGGATAGTTAAAATTTAATAAGATCATCTTTAGATGGCTGCTGTTTCTTTGATTTTGAATCCGACGGACCACCAGCTTTCTTGCCGAAAATCATCTCATCAAGATCGTCCATCATGTCATCATTGTTCCCTCCAGGAGATCCACTATGAGCGCCTGATGATTTTCTGATAAGAGCTTCTTCTTTTCCTACCCGGGGAGAATCATCGGGCTCAACAGTTACAGGTATCATAGCGGGTTCTGGCTCCCTATGAACAACCAAAGGTTTCTTCATGTCATCAAATTTAGAAAGGACTTTCTGAATTTCGTCATTCACATTCAGTGCTTCAAAGAGTAGGGCCTCGTTATCTCCAGCTGTCTCGATGATTCTTTGAACAGTATATTGCGACTTTCGGCACTGTTGTACTAGTGTAATGGTCAAGTCATCCTGCAGAAACTATCTAAAAGTTATTCGAATGAAGAAAACAAAAATAAAAACTGATGCTTTATATAACTGGAAAATACTGTGCTACAAAGAAGAAAACTATCATTTGAAAGTTTTATGACATCAAAAGACTCTCAACAACAGAAGTCAGCCCCCTATGTGATAAACTAGTGTGCGCTCAATTTGTTACATGGCTCAAATACAATATGTCTAGAACTGAGAACATAAATCCCCAAAGTTATGCCATGAATGGAACTAATTCCGAGCTTCCTCCATTAAATCTACCTAATTTTGGAAATCTTTATTTCAATAGTAAAATCTCCTCTATATATGGTCAAGAACGTAGAAGTTTGTGATGGATGAAATTTGATAAGTTTGCTCAATGAGAAGTCGCTTTTATACTTGAAAAGAACATAGACTAGAAATCATTTACTCTGTCAACAAATAAAAATGAGAAATCAAGTTTAATGTTTGCAAATTGCAATCAAACCTCACTATGGTTGATTTGATGGCTGTAATTATCAACACAACAGAAATCTAAACCATGGATATAAGTATGTAGTATAAACCACTATTGCAAATTAATATCAAAGAAATAATGTGGCTAGTGAAGTTTGATTGCAAAGAACAAGAAGAGGCAAAATACGTGAATGGTAGGATACCCCAATTATTTAATGATGTATAACAACCAAGATTACGTAACTATTGCACAAAGCAACTACACAACAAGATAATCGACTTTAACAAATTTCTAAAAGCATGGATTTGGTGAAAGAAAAAAGGCCAGAACAATGTAACAGAAAACTCAGACTTTGAATGAGATCTTACATGATATTAAGAGTAAGAGAAGTTCCAAAATTTCACATTTGACATTAATATTAAGTTGTAAGAGTACCTTGAGAGCATCTTGCTCAGGAGAAGAGGATAAAATGGTGTTAAGAAGCTCCACACTGTTTCTTGCCACGTCAAATGATTCTTTCGTTTGTTCTGCTGAAAAGGTTTGTTCAGGGATATCCCGATGTAGATGTTGTGCAAGAGTAGCATCTGATTCTGAAGCTGAGACAGATCTGGGAGGAGTGAATATAGGAGCTAAACTTTCATTATCACGGCCAGGGAACCTTATGCCTCTTGATTTCAGACTCTAAGATAAGGCAAGAGCCAAGAATATGAGGAAACAAGTTCAAGAAAATATATCATAGAGCTGGGCAAGCTGTGGTGATACCATGACAATGAACTATGCTCTTGGCCTTCCAGCTCACATGCCTTCGCATAAATTTATATAGTTTAAAACTGTCTTTTCCATTAATTTGTGTGCTAACTCTCACTGTTACTATTGAAGCAATTTTTAGATCAGATATCAATTAGGATATTAATAATTTCTAGGAGTCTGCTTTGTTATGTGCAAGACTAAAAGCGATCAAATTATTCAGGCAGCCCATCAGCCATAAACATTTAAAAAAAAAAAAATGGAATGGGGATGTACAATTAATAATTCTATATAAACTGCAGGAAAGTTTTGCTCAAGTAAAGAAAGCCTATGCTACTAAAAGATAAAACACAGGGACAATTGGTCTTTAATTGCTGCTCGTTTGCATATAACAAAGTCCAATAGAAAGCAATAATCAACGGACTAATGATATCAGGTACATTCAACAGATAAGATACCTTATATGTCTCTTCATAAACAGGCAAGTATCGCAGCTCATTTGATGACTCTCCCCAAGATTCGATCAGTGTCAGTGCTCTATTCCGATTGTTGACCATAGTCTGAGGATCATCAATCAGCTTCACCATCTCATCAAGCACCCTTTCAGCAGCGACTTCAGAGAACGCTTTCTCACAGTTCTTCACAACAGTTTCAAGCAACACAAGAGCCAAGTACTGAACCCTGGGGTTCTTCAACATAATCCGTTTCTTAATTCCCCGAATCAAATCAACACTGTTGATCCTATCATGGTTGATCATATCACAAAGTTCAAGATTCGTGGCCCAATCTGGCTCATCTAGGGTTTCGGCAGTGGCTTCCTCAACAATCTTCTCCGTCTGATTCGGACCTTGGAAAAATTCCTTCATCTTGAAACTCATTGAACTCACACCAGCACTTATCTTCTGCCCCACCTCAGTCCCTCCAATCTTCAATTTTTCCCCAAAGGCACTAACTTTTTCCATCAAATTATCACTCATCTTCTGAAAAACCAAATTTTCTTAGATACTTACAAAAACCGAGAAACAAATATTTCCGTTGGTTAAAACCCACACAAGCAAACCCATGAAGTATCAAAACAAAAACCCATAATATAAACTAACATCCTACATTAAAATAATCCAAGTTTCATCATAAATAAACTAACTCACCATCAGAGATAATCAAAATACACGAGGAAATTCAATGATCAGATCAAGAAACAAAAGAAAGATTTTGAAAGTGTACCTTATAATTGAAAGAGGCAAGTTGCGCGTTTCTGAGAAGACTCGATTTTTGCTCTCGCTTGGAAGGAAATCTGCCGGAGTTCCTATAAAGGGTTGCTGACTTGCAGTCCCAGTCTTGCGTCTTGTACTTTACGGAATGGAAAAAATAAAATAATATAAAAAAGTAACAATAATAATAAAATTCGAGGACAGTTATACATGGCCCTTGTTTGCGCACCGTTTTTCGAAAAAATATATATTCTTTAACGATGTTTTGATATTATTTTAACTACATATTTTTTAATAAAATAATATTACACTCTAATAAAAAAAATTCTTTATTTTTAGTTACACATTTTTCATCAATAAATTATTAAAAAGACATTTTTCCCCAAATATGGGGATCAAACAAGCTCACGATATACTTAGGATGGTTAGATATAGTGTTCAAAAATGTTCAGATTCAGAGATAACATCCCATCTTATATTTAAGTGTCGAAAAAATGAGTTATGTTATATATACAATTGTACAAAGTTGGTTGACAAAGTAATATTTACCACAATCGTTTCAAAACCAAAATTTTAAATTATTGAAAATCAATGGCCCGATCAACAAAATTTGTAAACACATTTTGTACAAATAGTATAATACCGAATCAAAAGAAAGTCAATTTTATGTTGAACACCTCTAAGATAACATGTAAAATGGAAATTTAGATTTTTAAAGTAATCGAAACACTCCAATGGAAAGATGCAAATGAGATTTAAATTGTATTTTTATCAGAAATTGTTAAAAAAAAAAAAACCCCTTCAATTTACATCTTTTTAACATTCATAAGACCATGTTTGATAGACATGAATTTCATGGAAGTGGAAATTGATTTCCACCCTAAACAAAAAAATGAATGTTTGATAGGTTTTTTTTCTAGGAATTCATTTTCCCACTTTAATGTCACCTAAACCATTTTCCATCAAATTGAGGAATGGTGAGAATTGCCACCCAGGGCACATCCAAGTTGGCGGAACAATCACATTGGGGGGGCTCTGGAACCAAGTGTGAGGAGTTCGATTCCTGGTTGGAGCAGCCAAGTGATGTAATAACCAGAGGAAGGGTTGGAGCAGCTTGGTGATGTAATAACCATGGAGGAGGGTCCCTTTGGGGAAGGAGTAAAAGCCATGTGGGAACCTGGGAACCAACAAGGGCACAACCTGCGATTTACCTTCACTAGTCACTGAGGGGCCGGGGGCTAGAGGTCCAGGATTTAGTCCGGTTAAGCTGGGACACCTGGGTTATCAAAAAAAAAAAAAGAGGAATGGTGAGAATTCATTTTCTAGGCTGCTAGCCGATTTTTTATTTATTTTACAATGAAAACAAATTATATCCCTAATTGTAAAAAAATTTAAAATAAATTTCTTTAATTGACAATTTTCATGTAAAATAAAGTCAAATGAACACAAAAAAAAAAGATGATTTTTTTGATTTTTTTCTTTTTTTGCAATGAAAACAAATTTCATTCCCAGTACTAGTAAATTTATCCCTTTAGTTGACAATTTTTACATAAAACAAAGTCAAACGAATATTAAAAAATATTTTTATTTTAACATTTTTCACGTGAAAAATTATACCAATCAAATATTGGATTTAGATTCATTGGAATGTAAATTAGAATGCTAAGGTGATTTTAAAAAAAAATATCAATTTACACCTAATTTTAAACTATTCTTGGAGATACTTTAAAGCTCATTTAGATGAAAAAGTCTCGTCATTTCTTAGCAAGTAATAATTTCTTATTTGGAAGTTCAATTCAATAGAATATTCAAGTATTGTTAAAATTTACCCAAAAAAAAAAAAAAGTCCAATAAAAAATTTATCATAATCGAAACTCAATCTACAACATAGCGTTCTCCGCCCTAAAAACCATTATTTTAAGTATTTACTGTTTTGAAATAATGTTATTTTTGGAAACTTGAAAAATATGTATGAAGTTCTTAAAATTTATTTAATTTATTGGTAATTAAAATAATAGTAAAATAAAAAACATTTTCTTAAGTATGCGCGCACAAAACTTGAAGTTTGTCATGTCGTGTACCTTTTAGAACTTTCTTAAATATAATATTTCGTGCTCAGTCAAAGACTACTTCTCACGTTTCTAGAACGATCTTCGATGTCAACTATGGAACCGAATTTTATATTTATCTAAATTAAATCATATATTAAGAATAATCAACGGTTTTCTCACCTAAAACAAAAAACTTAAAAATAGGAAAAGAAAAACACTTTACAATTTAGTCTTGAAGAATGAAAGCAGACTGCCTCGAAATAGAATCAATTATTATGTTTATCACAATTTTCAATTTCAAAATTTAAACGCACAAAGAAAAATAAAAAAGAGAATAAAAAATCCGACCTGCCGGATTCGAACCAGCGACCTAAGGATTACAGCAACAACTACAGTCCTCCGCTCTACCAACTGAGCTAAGGTCGGGATTAGTAAGTACTTTGATCATCTTTAAAAATAAATTGAAGTTCTGTTGCAACTGGATTGTCTTCTTCATAGTTCACGCTAATCACACTAAAGTCTAACAAGAGTGAACCTATTTTGTAAAAATAATGTTATTCATAGTGGGATTTTCTGGTATACATCAATTAACAAACTGTCTCATGTATTCTACGTAAGGTGACTACCGATGAGGTATCGTCTCATTTCTTGGAAATTTTCTTCCGGTTAACTTTATTTCTTTATAAGATGAGTAGTAGACATTATGTATTGGAATTCTACTTCTTTGATATTCTTCTCTCTATCGTTCTCTGTGATTGCATATGGCCAGTGTTTTACTTAGAATCAACTTTTAAAGGTTGTAAAGAAGTGATGAAGATACACATCCATTGATATCATTTGCAAAAGGATCAAATACTTGAAGATAAATACATATTGTTACTAACACTAAACTAACATACCTATTTAGTGACTGCCATTCTGCAGTTCATGACCCTTTTATGATTTACAATCACCTTTATGACAACGAAATTTTCTTGGAATTCTTTCTTGTGGTTTGCAATGAATTACATTTCTCTATGCTGTGCTTCTTCATGCTCTTTCCTGCTCCAACTTGGATTCGATCATTGTTCTAAGCCATTTCCTTTGATTCCTCCTCCTCTTCCTGTTCCCTTTGACTTTAGCATTTCGACCTTTATGGTTGTCCTCATTCAGACCTGAAAGACGCTGATACAAATAGAGGGTTCTTACTATATACCAATGTAATGCTAAATTAACATATCGAGTCTTGTCGAATTCTTTCCAAGAAAATTCTATTTGACTTGACTAAGCTATACGACATATTAATCCAACTTGGTAAAGACAGACCGTCGTAAAATGTTGAGGGAATAACGCACAAGGGATCGAAATCTTGATTTCAGAAAGCAAGCATATGTGCAATTCCATACTTACCTCACAGTAAGGAATGTATTTCTGTTTTGTGCTAGAAATTATATTCTGCATCCACAAGTAAGGTTCACATTCCAATTGTAGCTCAACTTTCCTATGTATTTCTTCTTCCCGTTCAAACATTTTTGCCGCGGCTTCCATTTCTAATATGTCGTCTCTAAGATAGATTCTGCAGGAAGTTCCACATTTGCAGTTAAGAACCTCCCTCTCTGCATCACAGAGTGAAATATATCAGTCTAATTTACATGAATGTTATTTCAATCTATCCATCGCAAAGAGCTATTTTTAATGCAATATGATTCTTTTTTCTTGAAAGGAAATGGGAAAAAGGAATACTCTCGTAAATTTGATTCCACAGCAAGTAAAAAGAGTTAGTACCATGAAAAAGGCATACGGGATCGTCGTAACATTTGCACACGAGATGTGCCACATAACATTCCCGTTTACATAGGAAGCAATAGATGGTTCCTTGAGATTTAGGACAAATAGTTGCTGATTTTGTTGCTCTCTTCAAACACCAGCGCGCAAGGTGATGTGATCTTAATAGACATACAAATGAAATCTTCATACAACGAAGAGAGAGGGAATCTGAAGGTAAATTATGTTGATGACTCGAAGACTTAAAAAGCAGCATCGCTTCTTTGCAGAGGAGTTCTTCGTAAGGGATAATTGGGATTCTTCCGAGCTTAGCATAACGAGTGCTAGCTTCTGCCCCAAAGGGAAACCAATCTCCAACTGCGAAATTTACTGCCTCGCCACAGTTAAAACCTGAATGTAAAATTAGTAAAAGATCAGTTTCGTTGCACAATGTCCTTTGTGCATTGTAACACGAGTTAATCACATGTTTGGTCGAGAGAATAAATATGAAACATGCACTAAAAGTACCAAACTTCTTACCATGACTAAATCCCGAGTGATAGGCTCTAGGAAAGGTGATCACAAACTCCCCTGGCATTTGAACAGATTTATAAACCGGGACAGTGTGTTGCAGCAAAATATTTGGAGGAAACATTGTTGTTTTCTCTGCTAGAATGTCGAAAGCTCCATCTTCTCCCTCCAGAGGTAAAATTTCATTCTTATAAATGCAGTTTTGGACGATTTTCTCTAATTGAAGAGCTGCAAAACTAGGAACTCCATACCACGTTTTTGGAGCGCCACAGTGATGATAGTTAATGCTGATATAGCCGAACCCAATATTGTGAAAAATAAGTCTAAATAACTATGTATGGTGAACATATTGGAATCTTTTGAACTGTTAAATTACCTATATAGATACTGATCCTCGACATGCCATGCAAACATGCTAAATAGCATTCCAATGTAAAGCATTGGTTCCGATACTCCCTACAACAAAACAAAAATCCCTAAAAGCACTTTGCAGTTAGATTAGTTTCATCGTGTTATAGTTATCATCTACCTGAATTGCAGTTCCCAGTAGACGCAATGCAGATCTAGGCAGCTTTGGAAGTGTCTGAGAGAAAGGCACTTGATGATATCAGAAGACTGAACTAAAGGAAAATATAGAAAAATGGGTTGGCTGGATATCTGAAAATCGAAGAAAAGAGAATTCACGTGTATTTGTGTAAAGAGAAACATTGAGAAGAAAAATAAAAACCTTCAAGTTCCATTTGCTTGTAGAAAGAGGATCTTCAGGGGAACACGAGAAGGCACTTCCATCCACATTGATACCATATTCAACAGTTCCTTTCTTTCCATGCAGCATTTCACTCCAAAATTCTCTTTCCAAGTATTTTGAAGGAAGGCAACCAGAAGTGCAATATCTTCTAGAGGCTGCCTTGTTGGCCATTTTCTCAAATTCACGAATCGTATAATATCTGAAACACAGTTAGAAGGTCTAAATCATGAAGAAAATGAAACAGACTTGCATCATTTTCATAATTAAAATGTCCAAAAGATACCTTTCTTTAATGAAGAAGAAGATCTTGTCATCGTTATCCCATTGTGCAAGTCGGAGAGGTTGCAGTTTAGTCGTGAACTTAAAACCTCTTTTCTCGTTCATTAGCACTACCCCGGCTGGGATTGAAGAAATTAAAGGTGGAACAATCTTACAAATGCCTAAAAATTCAATCAACATCACCTTGGAGTCAATGAAAAAAGACAATATATTCCATATAAAACAGAGAATTAGAAGTAACTATAACTAAGAACTCAATAGACCTTAGCTTATGTGCAAATAAATGGACTATTTGATTATTTCGGATTTATTGAACGATGTTTCAACTAATTAAAAGGAAAGATTTTCCGATCACATATTGATACCATATTTTGATGCTTCTGCAGCAATTTTCTGCACATAAACCAAAGGATCCTCAAATTCCTCCTTTGATGGATGATACACAGGACATTCTGCTATTTCCTCTGTCCAAGAAAAATCATTTATGCTCAATTTATCAGTTTTAAGATCAAAGCAATCTTTCTTAAGAGAAGCACACTTTGTGGATGATTCTACATCAGCATTTAGTTTCAATCCAAGAGATGCAAAAGCATTAACCCCTTTCACTCTCCTCACAACATCAGGAGAAAACATGGAATCCTCCCTTGAATGCATTTCATGCCTTAGTTTCTTGCGCCCCCTTTTGCCCTCAGACGAGTCATTTTCTGCCTGCGAACGGAGTTTGCAGTTGAAGTTAACGAAGGATTAGTACTTGTGCAGGAAAATGGAATGAGGATTTCCACACACATTGTGAAAGACTACAAAAAAACTGGAGTGTTAACTAATAAAATATCATCTGATAACATGAAAATGCAATCTGTTTTGGGCATTGAATGTGACTAACCATCATTATCAAGAACAAACCCAGTAATGGATTTTGAAATCAAAAGTTAAAGAAAAATCTTTAGCAGTTACTTTTGAAAATTCAAATTCAAGAACCGTTGCCAATCCAGATTTATATGTTTGTGCAGCGGTTGGTAGTTGAGATTACTGAGTTGCCACGTCAGAAAATGGTATTAAAAAAATAGGGATGTTAAGATATTGTTTGTTTAATTAATATTCAGAAATCTTTTTAAGTTACTATTTTCATTACTGCTTTTCACTTTTGATTTCTCTATCCAATCAAATCTCCTCCAATGTACTAACATTTCATCATAACATTAACGATTTCAAATTTTTAAGTATTCTTGGCCTTGATTCAAGATGAGTCGTGAAAATTTCTTTTATCACATCGGTAAGAAAGGAGACGACGACTTCCAAAAATTAAAGAAAGAGTGGAATCTCCTCCATTGTATCTGGTTCTCTCTATTTTTGGGTCGGGCAGGATGTGAAGGCCATAAAAGAAGATTGCCCTGCCCTCCTGGTAAGGGCAACGTCAATTTTGAAGTTAAGGTCACGATGCCTTGTGAAGAAGCCTTCCTATTGGCCTCTACCTTATGTAGTGCTTTTTTAGGAGAAGTCATTGAGATCCACTCAACTCAAACACTCTTGATAATCTTGTTCTTTTGTCCGTATCGTAGCATTGATAATGTTGTTGTAAAGGAAAGTATGTTAGATAAGATAACAAGAGACTTTTCCAACCTAAAGAAGAAAAGTAGTATAAACAAAGGAATAATATGATTCAAAAATAGGGATTATAGATAATTTTGAGTTATTTTAAACAATAACCAACGGAATGGCATGAAAAGGATCGAACCAATTTTAACTGCTCACATCATAGTAATAATAGCACCAAGGCTGCACATCGACCTATATTTTTCATTATTATAAGAAATTTGAAATTAAAACAAGTTTTTCTGATGCCCGGATTTTAAGACCACATTAAGATGTTAATTTTGTATGTAGAATTTACATAAATAATAGAATGTTTAAGAGTTGGTCATATATTTGGACAATATTAACAATCTTAGAATATCTTAGCAAATACCCTTGAGGCCACATTAACATAAAATATTGGATCAAAAGGATTTTGCATAATAAATAAAATAAAATAAAAAAATCATCATCTAGTTACAACTTATCAGGCCAGAGAGAATTTCATTCACCAGTATAGATAAAAACAGAGAGTATTGAGTAATATATATATATATATATATCCCCGGAACTTCTAGACTATTCAATGCAAAAGTCTGAACAATAATCGAGAGAACGTAAACGAATCCCACCTTAGAGTTGTCGAAAATATATAGTTCATACTTCAAAGAACCAAGCCCCGAGGAGAAGAGGGCTTCGTTTCAATTGTTGCAGCTTTGGGGGATTCAGAGCTCTGAACGTGAGCATATCCTGCTTCCGCATTTTTTCCAGTGTCTTCTTCAGCTACCTTATCCATCGTCCTTTGCCCAACTTCACCAGCAGCCTTGGTAACCCTATTGAAAGCACCAGTTACCCACGAAGCACCAGTCAAAACGTATCTGTTTTTCATAATGGCAGATCCAGCATTGCTAACCGTCTGCTCGGCAGTTGAAAAAGCAGACTTAGTCTTCTCGGAAACCTGAAACTTCTGGTCCATTTCCTTCACTTTATCATTGACAATGGTTGCTCCGAGGCTGATTTTCTCACTCAACCCAATCTTTTGGTCCAATGAAACTACTTTGGATGAAGCAGTGGAAGTGAATTGGTGCTTCTCGTCCAAGGCTTTTGCTTTGTTAAGTGCATCCTTCCCCAAGATAAAACCCTTTGCGAGCATACTGCTTACGACATCTTCTGCCTTCTGGACAACAGATGCAGCACCGCCTTCATTCTTGTTTTCTGCTGCCTGAAGACACAATGCAGAAGACTGGTGACAAACAATTATCTAAGAAATTTAAGATCAGAGAAGATGCAGAAAATTCATACAGCAATTGCAGCTGAAGCTGTAGGCGGCAGCACGTAATCTGGTTCGAGGGCTACGGTAACTGTCTGATCAACTATGGTAGCTCCCTGGAAAACCGAACAAAATTTATTCAACATGAGAAATAATTTGTTTTTGTCCCTAAGCTTCCCTACCAAAGTGAAAATAAGATGAATTAGTGCTGAACTAGAGCAAACAAAAATCAATATCCTCTCTCACTGTCAGAGGTTTGTTTATTTATAATAAGACTCAGGCTGTTAAAAAAAATTCACATTCAATCATAAGAGAAGCAGCTGAGCCTCCATTTGCGTTTCATTTTATTTTGCTAGTCTACTTGTCAAACAATGAGTTGTAGATAAGCAAGTAGTGTTTGGGGGTCCTATGAAATGTGTGGTTAAAATTAATGTTCGACTTTGAAAGATAAAATTTCAGGAGAATAAAAATGAAACCCAAACGTGGGCATTTTTAATAACCATTATTACAAACGCAAACTAAAACAGAAGCAGGTATTGAGAACAAAACCACATTTTAGTATCATATTACATAACTTCGTTGCCTCAAAATTTTCTACCTTTCACAAATATAAGTTGCAAGTACATTACTTCGTTCAATAGAAATATCATTTTCCACCTTTTGAACACATGCACGACAGAAGAGATGGCATAACATGACCATAAAAAGGGAAAAATACTAACAAGTTGTTCAATTAACTTTCTATCCAAGGAAAACCACACATTGTTTCATATGTTTGAAAAATCCAAGATGGAAATCGTCAATGCTAAAAATACCATCCACTATACTAGGCACAAAAGCATTTGGTGGTGGCTTGCAAAATCCCAAATGAAAGGTTGCCTTTATTATCAAGACTAGTCTTACATATGTTGAAAAGAAATGATTTATGCCACATTCGGTAATCTGATAAGATGATATAGGCTGCATTAAAGAAAAATCAAATAGAAAGTACCTACTTTATGTTACTGTCTTTTCTCCATTTTCAAAAAGGGGATCAAAGGATTTTCACCCCTCCCCCCAAAAGAAGACTTCTTTTGCTACTGTCTTAAATCAACTAATTGGTCTAATATTTAACAAGAGCAACGAGGCCACACTGCTTTAAGAAAGAACCACAGGTATTCTGATATTTTTACGATAAATGAAAATATTATGGCTTTTTCATATAGAAGAATTTTTTAAAGTGGTTTGTAATGTTTCTCCCCAGGGAATTAAAACTCAACTTTATTGGATGCCATGGAAATCTCACAGAAATTGACTATAAAAGACAATAAGTAGGATCCCTTACACTCCCCTTTGCCAATAATTCAATAAGACTAGTTATCAATTTTCCTTGTGTAAAAGATCAATTCAAGGAAAAAATTCTAAAATGATTTTAACTCAAGAAATTGAAAGGAATACCGAAAGAAGAACAGCAGTTTCAGCACCCTGAGGATCCTTGAAAGTGACAAATGCAGTTTGCGACCGCTCATTCTCACTAAAATCAAAATAGAGATGAAATGAAGCAATGACATACAGAAATTTTACAATCACATGGATAAAGATGTAAGGCGAACAATAGGAAGATTAAAAAAAAATGCAGCAAATTGAAAGGAGGAAAGCAGCGCAAAATGGCCAAGAATACAACCTCTTTAATCCAACATGTTCAATTTCCCCAGAGAAAGAAAAGAACTCCTTGATATCTTGTTCAGAAGCACCTAAAGAGACGTTGCTCACTTTCACTGTTCTTACCTGCCATTGTGAATTATACCGTAAGTGGAAAACAACACAAAAGGGAGAGAGAATGGAGCTTCATGCAGAAAAAATAGTAATGACTACTAGAGTTACCCTCAGAAAAAGATAAAGAGAGGTTCAATGAAAAAATCTCTGAATATACATGTTCAACGTGAATTTCAAATAGGTTTTATGTTTTACTTTCATTTGCAGAAAGCCGAACTGGGAGTTGAAAACAGAAGGGAATTTTCCCTAATTCTAATTTCAAATCCTTGATAAGAGATTATTATATGACTAAAATAATGCAGAACTGAACATTTTGCATCATCTCCAGGTGGAAATACAATCTAAAACTTTAAGTTTGTTGTCTTAGAAATTAAGCCCCTGATTTACAAAACTTTTTGAAATAATAATCTGGTGGGCCCCATGGTTAAAAAGTGAATAAAAGTTGTGGGCCCAATGAAATATGTGGTTAAAAATAAATTTTGACCATCTTATATTTCAAAAAAAAAAAAAAACTTTGTTAAACAGGAGCTAAGTTAATAATTTCAAATCCTTGATAAGAGATTATTACATGACTAAAATAATGCAGAACTGAACATTTTGCATCATCTCCAGGTGGAAATACAATCTAAAACTTTAAGTTTGTTGTCTAAGAAATTAAGCCCCTGATTTACAAAACTTTTTGAAATAATAATCTGGTGGGCCCCATGGTTAAAAAGTGAATAAAAGTTGTGGGCCCAATGAAATATGTGGTTAAAAATAAATTTTGACCATCTTATATTTTCAAAAAAAAAAAAAAACTTTGTTAAACAGGAGCTAAGTTAATATGATGCAAGTTTAGCCTTTATTTAGGAGTTCATTTTATATGCACAATTATAATAGCCTCCTTGAAAAATTTAATAATCTAGCCATGGTAAAACTGTTACAAGATCCAGCATTCATCTAACTGATTGTCCCATTTCGCAGTCAATTTTAGAATCCAACCTATACTGACAAAGATTTTTCAATTCCGCCACAGTGACTGATTTTTTGTTTTGACAGAGGAGGTGACCAACTCTCACAATGGCGGCCCAATTTTTTTTTTTTAATTGACTTTTTATTCATGTGAGAGGATGTCAACCATTCAGGCAAAAAAATTTGGGCAAAGCAGCAAAATTCAAGATTCTTACCCTATTTTATGCCACTTACACAAATTATGTTTTGCAATCAGGCCCATAACAACACATCTAGCGCTGTGTTATTTATTAGTGGGATAAAAATCTCTAAACCTTTTCAGAATGATTTTTAATTACATGCTAGACTGTCCATTAATATCCATAGAAAAACCTGTAGATCTTGAGTCCATCTAAACGGACAGTTGAAGCATGCACACCCATATGTCGACATACACCAGTATTCATATAAAATTACATCCGTAGTAATTCATTTAAATCCGGTACTGTAAAAATCACATGCAGTAGTAATTAAACAGAAAAATCATCTATATGCCAATCTAATCCAGTAACACAGGGAAAAAGACTCGATACAATATACAAATAGAACAAGAATATCGCGAACTGTTTGAATCACAAATGTATATACAAATAGAACAAGAATATCGCGAACTGTTTGAATCACAAATAAATTACAGTTTACACAAGTATAATCAAAACAATCATACCTCAACAGTAATATTAAAATAAATCAATTGCACAATCAATGTTTAATGCAATTAATTCAGATAAAACAGAAACAAAAATCGAAGAGAATTACTAACCGACATTAGTACGGGAGGATTCGAAACCAGGAGAGCAAAAAACAATACCGATTTATTTGAAATGTGGAATCTTGATGAGATGAATTTATAGATAGATATTTTCAGTTGGTACTGGGGCGAGGAATTATATGGCGTGAAGGCTCCAGGGAGAATAGCAGAACGGTGGGCGTCTGGAGTGTGAAGTTCCAAATTAGAAGTCGCAAACGCGACTTTAGATTGCACTGGATATAATTAGACTGAAGGTAACAAGAGAGGATCTGGTCAATAGAAAACGTTGTGGGCACGTTTGTTTCACGTGATTCACAGAGAAAAAATTTCTCTGTATTTTCGAATTAATATATTGAGGAAATTGACAAATAATAAAAATGACAATAAAGACACCCGAGGTATCGGACTATTACAAAGACGTCTCTAACTTTTTAAGAACTACAAAGTTTGAATTATCTCTATTTGTTGTAAAAATGGTACTTCTTTTGTCGGTCCATGATCTCTGCACTATCTGCGACAAAGAGTGTTCGGTACCCCCTTTGATGGAGTGCTTTTTAGTATACCTTCGACAATTGAGTATCTGTTTGGCTTCACTATTTGTAGAATTAAATTTTCTTTTTACCGTTAATGAGTTCAACGTCTGCCTTGTAGTGTGAAGGAAGTCAACAATTGCAACTGTTAACAATCCAATAATTCATTAAAATTTGAATGAAAATTGACACCAAACAAGCTCCGAGTCAAACATGAGAAAATTTATATAAATGACACGTTAAAGGAGTTTTGGAATTCTATTACCTTATTTACTACTACTTCTACGAAACACCTTTCTTGATACCTTGCGATTGTAAAGTAGAAGATGAATCGGATGGTTGTTATAAGCTTTGTGAAAGGATATTTTGGCCAAAGTGACGAACGAATCAACGGATGAACCCCCCGTTTGCCCCCATTATTTGGATTTATAATGGGGGAATGGTATTTTTAAAAAAATGATTGTAAAAGAATGAAAATTTTTATATTTGAGTGAAATATTATTTTATTGAAAATTGTGTGGTTGAAAATAGGAGAAAGAAAAATTTAAATTAAATTGATGAATTTTAACGGGGGCTTAAAAGTAACTTCTATTCTTTTTCTTTCTTATTTATTTGGAAAAAAGTTCGAAACTTCTTTTTATTCAAAGTTCTTGGTATATGAATTGATGTTACTTGATTATTTTGCCCTTGTAATAAACAGGTGTGTGCAAATGTTTGAAATGGAAGAAAAACGTGAAGTGAGATTTACTTTGCTAATTTAAAAAAAAAATAAAATTCTAGACAAGAATGTGATGAAATTTTGATTTTTGGAAGATCACAACTTTCAACGGAGGTTAAGAAACTAATTATGCTATTTATCCTTTTATTTTAACTTAAAAAACAAAAGTATATTACTTTTTAGTAAAGAAAATGACACTTCATAGTTATATGGACAAAATTCATCTAATAAAGACCAACAACTCTACCAAATTGAAATATAAAATTAGAATTGATTTTATTAAAAATAGTCAAATAAACACAATCCATCTAGTGACAATTAACGATGCTCAAAAATTAAAATGTCGAAGACGAATGTCAAGAAATTTAGTTTGGATCATGTTGCAATTTTCGTCTATAAGTTAGGGACTAAGTGTAAATTTCCCTTTAAAAGGGGAGAAGTTGCAATTTCTGTATTAAAAACGCAGAGAGAAACCTTGTAGCTTCCTCCCTCTGTCGTTTCGTTTACAACCTGATACGTGCACGTTACATCACACCGACCATGAGTCCGTTGGGCTTCTCCTCCCTTTAAATCATTCAAACGATTTCAACAGTTTTCTGTGGGAATAGATAGATTTTGTTGTTGTTCCAGTAAAGATAATCGATTATTGATATCGATATGAGCTTTGAAGACCTTGAATCGGGCCGGGCCTTGACTTCACATGCAAGCCTGCAACAAGACCCTTCTCGAGCCCTTGCTGCTGGCGTCTTCCGAATCAACACCGCTGTCGCAGCCTATAGACGCCTAGTTAACAGCCTTGGGACTCCCAAGGACACTCTTGACCTGCGCCAGAAACTGTGAGTTTTATTATTATATTGTTTTGGCGTTTGTTGAATTTCCGAGTAGATTGAACTTGCTGGAGGGAAGACACTCTATTCAGCTCATAGTAATTTGCTTGGTTTGAGGGAGAAATTTTATGATTAATGGATAATTTATGTAACAAAATGTCAAAATCAATTCTTCTTTGTACTTCAGAAAAATTGATAACAAATAAAGCACCTGCATAATGCTTCTGTAATCAATAGTGTAAGTTTTTGTGTTAAATCAACAAACAAAAAGTAATTTGATTTCGAATAATTTGTTGATATGTAATTCTGTTGCCATGAACACAAGGCTTTGGTTGCTACTATATGCAAATGTCTGTAATAGTTGGTTCAATTAACTTTTGAATGGATATTAAAGTAAGTTGAATTTCGTGTGTTTGAAAGTTTGATATTTCTAATCTAATACTAGTTTGTACAATGCACTGACTGCAGCCACAAGACTAGGCTACAAATCGGGCAATTGGTGAAAGAAACATCCGCGAAGCTTGAGCAAGTTAGAGAAACAGACCGGTTCACTGAAGTTAGTGTAAGTTTTTAGAGCAATTGGCTTTAGTGTAAGTTGTACCCATTAGAAGAATTTCAATTGGCAGTGAATGGATGACATAGAAAAGTCACAAGCAATTGCTTCTTGAGGCGAGAAGAAAGTTAAAACATTCTAATTCTTGAGCAAAGTTGCTTCTTCTTTTTTTATTTTATTTTATTTTATTTTATCTTTCAATGTGTTAGATACAAGTCACAAAGAGTCTTAGGCCATAATCTGAGTGAATCAACCAAACCAGCAATGCTTTAAGCATAGCACAACTGGACTTTTACATTATTTTATAATATATGAAGAAATTCAGACGAAGTAGCTTCTTATGGGGCCTGGTGGCGGTGTTAGGTTTCCTAGTATGGCCACACAGCTTCTTATTCTTCTCCTTTATACACCTGGTTATTGTTTACTTCCACTTCGTATGAGTATGTCACTTGATAAAAACCTATCTTCTTTATTTCAGGCCAGCAAAAAACTTGCTGATGCTAAGCTCACAAAAGATTACCAATCTGTACTGAAAGATTTTGAGAAGACTCAGAAGCTTGCAGCAAAAAGAGAAACTGCATATGTTCCCAATGGAAATCTTTCATCTAGGTAAATTATCTGTATTACTAATTTACAAACCTGCTCATGAGTCATCATTTGGAGCAGTGCATCTGCTAGAGTTCCGTGGTGTGGCATTCTGTGCTGGTTATCCATTGAATTTCTTGTCAACATGTTTACAATTAAGCATCCATGTAATCTCCTGGGAGCATGCTATGAACCATACACTTAAAGGTCAAGAATTCGTCTAAGATACAATATAGCTTTGAAGACTGTGGGCTTCACCATAAGCATTCCATGAAGAATGTCAGGAACAGCAAATTTTGGGTTATGAGGCGCAAAATGAAAAAAATAGGATAATTGTATTATATTTTCTCGGAAAATAATGCAAAGATGATTACGAGTCTATTATGTGGCGCATAAGGCCAATTAAATATATAAATATGAGACCCATTTTATTGACGTTATCATTTAATGTCACATCATGTTGTGATCGTCAAATGGAGATACATAGCATTACTCTTTCTTGAATGCAGGAGGATATTTACATACTGTTGCACCTATAATGTTTCTAAAATTTGTAAATGGATATAAATGTACAAATTAGTGTAAAGTAACTAACAAATGTAAACATGCCTGTCTTTTTGGATTTGGTATCTTAATTTTTGTTTTGTTATGCTGAATACTATGTAGAAAACCATATTGACCCAGTATTTACTAGAAAATAGAATTAAATTGAGATCCTGGTTTCCTTGTCGGTATTGATTTTTGGTGAGCCTAACGAGAGACAATTATTAGGTTCCTACACCTGTCAAATTGTTCATAATCACAATTGCCAGATACCACTTTCTAGAATAGTGTTCAAGAATTACAAATTCTTAAGTAGTGGCAAAGAAAGACTTGTATTTGCTTCTTCATTCTTATATTGTGCAAGCATTTGTGATTATGCTGTCTTGAGCATCTTTGTTTATCCATTACAACTACCACCAATCTCCTATTGCTTCGTATATGCAGCCTGAATAAGAATATTTATAAACGATTTAATGCCATAGTTCCTCTGTTTCGCAGCAATACAGCTAATGAGATGGAGATAATATCATCCAAGAGTCCTGAGCAGATTTCTCTTTTTGCAGAATCCAACAGGTAGGAAGACACTACTTCATAACCACTAACTTGGGCCTTTTGAGGCTTAAATTTTTATGTCGATAATTTCACTTCCCGCACTATCAACTTTTGTATATAAAAAACATAGTTGTCCTTTCTCTGAAAGAACATACCTTTTAGATCAAATGTGCTACTGGTCTCAACACAATAAGCTACCAATTAATCAACTGATCCATCTAAGAATGAAACATGTTTTGATAGATTGCAATTTAACAAAGAATCATGGTTGTGCATTCTAAATCTGTACATGATTTAGTACAGACAGGAGGTCATACATTTGGAGAATGAGATAGTTTTCAATGAAGCCATTATTGAGGAGAGGGAGCAAGGTATCAAAGAAATTCAGCAGCAGATTGGCGAGGTCAATGAAATCTTCAAGGATTTGGCTGTGCTGGTTCATGAACAAGGGTCTCTAATTGGTTAGCCAATATTGACTTCTTCCATTTTGTTTTGAGATATATTTTCTGGGAATTTTCGTGAAATCAGTTTCTGTTTTATGATTTTTTGATTACCTTCTTCCAGATGACATTGGTTCAAATGTTGAGGGCTCCCATGCTGCCACTACACAAGCTACTTCGCAACTTACCAAAGCAGCCAAGATCCAAAAATCTAATTCATCTCTGGTAATTAATGAGATTTTCTACCAGTTTGCAACTTTTTTTCCCAGAAGTAACAATGAAATTGATCCACAATATTTTAAATCTTGATAGCTTATGCTTTAATCTTCGCTTGTATTTTTTAAGGAAGACTTGAATATTAACCTTGCAGTTTTATATTTGGTGCAGACTTGTTTGATGCTGCTTATCGTCGGGATTGTTCTGCTTATAGTAGTTACAGTTTTCGTGCTGTGAGGTTGATTTCTACGTGGTTACATTCAATTGAAGACAAGAAATTCATTTTCTGGTGCATTACCGTAGCTCATGCCTGTAATTGTAACGCATTCATAATTGTTTTCACTTTGACGTTTACAGTTACTCATGTACAGTACAGTGCAATGTCAAGACAACTTACTTCCATTGCTCCGTTACAGTATAATCCATCGGTCTACTGTCCTTGAAACGTGAAAATACTATGAATACAAAAGATTACTATCTAAAGGAGTTCAGAAAATAAAAGCTTGTTATGATCCATTGCAGTTTTATGCATGACAAAGATCTTATATTTGTAGTCGATTAAATCTGTGGTTTCATCCAAGTAACAATGCACAGACATGCATCCAATGAAGGTAACTTCTGTCTGAAATATCATTTTCTGAAAACTCTAAACAAGCTGATCAAAACATGGATACCAAGCAAAATGGCATCCTCACATCTGACAACCAATTTCTCCACAAGGTTACATTGTGAACCTGTAAGAAGAAAAGAGTGTCTATCAAACACAGCTAAGATTTCCTAGGCTCTGGCACGGATCACAATTTAGGTGGGCTATCGAAAACCAGCAAGTCAAAAACCATAAACCACAAACAGAATGCATCCCAAAACCAGGATAAAAGGAAAAAGTATCACTGATAACTCCACCCAAGCATCAGATGCAATTCATTGAGTTCTTTTAAATATCTTACATATATATACACATTCCTATAGAAGTCCTGCCCTTAATGACATTAGCATTCAGAAGTACTACTAAAATTTCTCTCACGGGTATATGCCGCATACAAAGTTCTCAAGTCTAACATGTATAACAGGATCCCAGAATGAAAGATTGTCACGGAGAACCGGCTGCGTCTATAAAACTAGCATCCAGAACTAGTAACTTCAGTAACTAAAGCAAGAGGGTGTGCATTAAATGACGCCTATAATCAAACTGAATTGGGACAAAAAATTACCTCTGACCATTGCTGCCGATTTACATGCGACTCATCACAGAGAATCATCCACTCTTCGCTGCTGGTGCAAGAAGCCCCATCTATATGGTAAGATTACTTATATTCTTCATTTTATCCCATTCACCTTCTTTCTCAGTCTGCTGGTCCTGCTCTTTTCCCATACCACCTCCCATTGTGCTAGAATCTATCTCATCCATATCCCCAGTTACAGGACTTGATGAGAGAAATTGTTCCCAGAATACGTCATTTATACCTGGAAGCTTAGGTATCTCGTCTGCCAAGACATCAACTTCAGGATCTGATGAAAATCCATCTGATGCAACTGGCATAGGGCAATCGACGGAACCTGGCATCGCATCCATGTACTCCTTATCTTCGCACCCGATTCCGTCAAAAGGCGTGTCAGGCAGGTCAACATTCTTTTCTGGATTGACTCCTTCCATTTGAGAAAAATCCGACAATGCCTTGTTAATTTCAGGAAGCAGAGTGCCTTGAGCCTTCCCACTAACCAAATTAGAGGAAGATTGAATCTCGGATAAGGCAGCTGAAGGAAGTTTGAATGGAGATCCTGACTCTGATGCAATTAGAGACTGTGAAGACGTTGATAAGACCTTTGGAAGAGTAACTCCAGACATTCGATTGGAGGAACTACTGTTGTCTAATACATTGGATGGGGAATGCATGTTATCCATCAAAAAACCATTTATGTTGCTAATTTTGGACTCTATCCTACCTGATGCACTCATTTTTAGGATTTGCTGCAGCATTACCTTTGCCGCTTCATTCATCAGAGGCTGGTACTTGACAATCTGTCCATCAGGTGTCGCAATACCTAACTTGCGTGTTAAAATATCTTCCTCCTGATTGGGGAATCTCCTTTTCTTATTCCCACCAGATTTAGGCATCTTACTTTCATTCGGCTGTTGAAACAGCTGGGCTATAAAACCAGGATTTTGCATTGCTTTTGCAAGGAAGGACATCATTTGTTGCTGGTGTTGCTCCATAACATGAACACGTTGCCCTACAGTTTGAAACTGGTGATCAGTCGACTGCTGTTGTTGCCTCAACCTGACAAGCTCCTGCACAAGCACATTCTTATCTCTTTTCAGCTTTTCAACCTCTTCCTCTATCACAAACTTTCCAGCTTCAGGGGAAGTACCATCAGATGAACTCTGAACTTGAGAGGATTGTTCATGGCCCTGTGCATGGGAAGGTTTTCGCCTGCTTATGCTCTTCAGTAGGTGTTTGTGACCTCTGAGAAAACCCTCATTTGCAAATTCCCAGCGGTCTGGGTGAACTTTTCTGAACCCCTGGTTAACGAAAGGGAAAGGAAAACTATAATAGAATTATTATTGCTCGACACACACAACCAAGATATTATGAAGCACACACAAAGCTATGAGATTCACTGCTTTCAACAAGAAAATGCTACACCCAACCTCCCCCAACATCCAACAAGATTATAGAAAATGTCAAGCCATCTATTTTTCATAACAAGTCCAATTCTAATAATTCGAGGTGACTAAATGATTATATTTTCAAGATCCAAATACAATTGTGCGAGTTTTCATTTTTTTGAAAAATACTGCTAACTGGAAACATAGAGGTATACTGCATTACATGTACAAGAACTTATCCAGTACTCACCCAGCATTGAAATTAACACGACAAAACTGATTCAAATTAGAGGAAAACGGCTAAAGCACATTGAATTACAGGATTATACATAACCATGTTCTATCTGATATCTCTTAAACAAAACTTTTATTTCAATTTTCACGTTACCAATACAATTATGGTCTTCTCATTAGATCTCCTGATATCTTTTTTTATCATTGATACTAAATATTCCTTCAAAATTCAAAACATAGTAAATTGGTAAAACTATAACCAACATAAAAGAAGGGGTTGAAAATTAAACGACAAAAGCTTCCAAAAATCAACTTAGGAGTAATAAAATAAGATTGATAATGGTGGGCATACATAAGTGTTCAGCTGGCGGACGAAGCTGGAGAAATTGTTGTGCTTAAAATATTTGGGCAAAAGTTCTCTGGTAAACTCACGCACGTTCCACACCACGATGGTGTTGTTAGTGTTGCTCCACGACACCACCTCGTCCGTCTTTGGATCGTCCACCATCTCGTACGTTTTGTTCAGAAACGGCGGCGCTGCTGATACAGTAGCCATGCTCACCCCTCCTCCTCTTCCTCCAGTTTTCGATTTTCTGCACCAAAATCCCAAAAATTATAATTACAAACTCATAATCGCGTACTGTGTGTAGCAATTGAACATGAATTAATTGTGATTTAGATGAAGGAAATCAAAATCGGATGCCTAGATCACATGAGAAGAGTTTCAAGAATTCGAAGGGTTGATCTTCTACGTGCACCACAAGAATTGGACAAAAAAACTTTGTGCGTCCCCCAAGAAAGTTACCAAAATTCAAATGTTATTGTATTAGGGTTTTCGCTGACAAAATTTCCATACATATTTTAAAAATTATCCATTCATATGATATCCGTATCCTACTATTTCTCACGCACGTAGCCGTACATACGATAATTTGTAATTTTGATGCATTAATATGAATATGGTAGTTTTTTATTGAGATAATTAACAGTAACGATCTTACATTGTATTATTGCTCTTGTTTGAACCTCATTTTTTTGAAAAAATACATTTTTTAACAGTGTTTTGATATTATTTCAACCACACATTTTTCAACAAAATAATATTGCACGTAAATTTAAAACTTTTCCTTATTTTTTAACCATACATTTCTCATCACTATACTATTCAAAAATTCATTCTTCCCAAAAAAATGGGGCTCGAACAAGAGCATTATTGTGAAAAACGTCGCTGCCGATCATTTTTTTTGATATTTTCCCCATTATTTCAAGCTTTTACTGCGCAAAATTCATTTTCATCCATTTTTTCAATTAAAAGTTGTGAAACGATGAATATATCATTCTCTTTAAATAAAACAATAGGAAAAAGAAAGATTGGTCTGTAAGATTGTAGAAAAGGACTTTGGGTGGAAAGAAAACAAATTTTAGAGAATTGAATTGTCTAGAACTTGTTTTAATGAGAATTGTAATTAAATGTGTTGATTGGTATAATATTTCACCTGAAAAATATTAAAATTTTGGATCGTTTGGTATTCGTTTGGCTTTATTTTTCATGAAAATTGTTGATTAAAGGGATGAAATGTTTTACAATTGTGGATATAATTTGATCTTATTGCTTGAAAAAAAAAACAAAACTGGAGAGCAATTTCCCATCAAAACCCAAAGAAAACCATTGTGGAAAATTTTGTCACATGAGGGGTTGGAGGAAAACAAATTCCAAGGAAAAAAAATTGCTATTAAATATGCCATTTCTGTTGGAAATGGAATTTAAATTCCAATTTTCATGGAAAACATGGCCTATCAAAGAGGCTCTAATTGAAACAATAGTCCCAATTTAAAAAAAAAAAAAATGTAAACAAGTCTCAAATAAATTATAAAATGATAATTAGCACATAATGTTCATACCTTTCATTATTATTGTGAAAAACATTTATACCTTTCAGTTTTTTAACATTTTAATCCTTAATTAGACCTTTAATTGCACAAACTATCATTTATATTCATCTTCTTTCAATTTCACAATAAAAATATGTAAAATGACGAATATACCATCTTATTTAAATAAAAATTGTAAAAATCGACGACTTGTGCGCATTAGCAATTTCCAATGATTTCTTCAAAATTTTCTTCTCCTCGCCAACAAAAACCAGATATACAACTCCAATTTTGTTCACACGTGGAGGGGAAGAAGATGACTATTGATGGAGGTGGTAATGGTGCATAATGCCGATGGTCGGTAGTAGTGCTAATATTTCATATCAACGTGTGTGTTTGTCGCGCTCGTGATGCGTGGTGGTAGCATGGTGGTCCAATGATGAGCGATCATTGTTGGCATATTTCTATTTGAATAAGTGTTAGATCTTGTGTGTGTGTAGAGAATAAAAAGTAAGTATTCAAGTAATAAAAACGACAAAAGGCATTGAAAGTAGTTGCGAAAAAATAAAAGAATGTACAGAAGCAGAAGTGATAGAATTGTAAATTTTTGTACGCATTTCGCTTCTGTAAAAGAAATGAGGGTGTTGGGTGTAATTTCCAATTCTAACAATTATGAAATCACAACAACGTCCTTTTGTAACTCGGGAAAATTTCATCTCTAAGGTGTTAATTACAACCCATTTCAAAATTAAGAAATAAGTTTTAAAGTTTAAAAAATCGAATATTATTAAATTTGTTGTAAAATAATAAAATAATTATTAATGATATTTAGTTTTATCATAATATATAGATAAGTCTTATCTACTCTAGAAGATCTGTTTATTCAAATTATAATTTTTATTTTGGATTCTATAAATATGGGTGTTGATTTTCAATAAAAGACACATTTGAGTTTTGACTCTTATATTCTCTTATCTTTTTCTCTATTTTGACAACACGTTATTAGCACGATTTTTCAAAATCTAATATTTTTTAGGAAGAGAAAAAAAGAGGAAGTAGCCCCTCTTGAATTTTGCGATAGGGAAGACTTGGAAATCTGGGGTGAATATGGATTAGAGAAGCTCTCCAGAATTATAATTAGCGGAAAAAACTTCTTTTTCATGCTAAAGCTCCATATCATTCATATTCCGTCTTAGGTGACGTACGCATGATAAAACTTCATATCATTCACTACAAAAGCAGGATGGTATATATGCATATTTTTAACCAAAGCCTCCCAATTAATTATATTATAATAATTTTTTCATAGTCGTTAATTAAAGTAATCAATATGCCGTTTTATATTGATTTCATGCACATGTTCTTTGCTTTATTTTTTATTTATGTTTGCAGAATATATACATTTATGGCAATTATTAGAAAAAATTTGTGTTTTTAACTCAATTAAATAATTTTAGATGTTCAATTGTAAATCTTAAACTAATAATTTATCATGTTGTTACTCTTGAAGTAGCTCAACATCGTAATTAATATTCCAAATGAATATTAATGTAGATCTATCTATTATGAATAATTTGTTGTTACTCTTAAAGTAACACAACATTATAATTAATATTCTTAAAAAAAATCAGGGACTATATTTTTTTAATATTCTAGAAGAATATTATTTGCCCTCCTAAGAGCATGAATTATAATTTTTAATATTTTCAAATAGAGATATTGATTTATTGCTACTAAAGAAATAATAGTAAAATATAAAGCACTCTTGAAAAAGTACAACTCTGCAAATATTAATATTTGTCTATAAAGTATACTAATGAAGAGTTAATATTTTTAAGCAATAATTTATTTGTGCTCTTAAAGTATCACAAAATTGTTAGAATTATTGCTCATGAAGTAGAACACCGTTATTGATAGATATTTTAGTTAGATTTTACTTACTTCGAAAGAGCATAATTAAATACGATCTAATGTAAATTATGTTTTTACTCTTGAAGAATAAATTTTTATATAATTTATTATTTTAAATAATAATATATTATTGCTCTTGAACAATGTGACGATTCCAATATTTCAAAATAATATTGATATTGCTCTTAAAAAAAGATAATAAAATATAAAGTGCTCTTGAAATAACACATGTTTTGAATAATATATTACGCGTAATTTATGAATTTGTATTTATTCCCGAAGAAAATCATACGACTTATGTCATGTGCACATTGATTATTATATGATTGTATAATGTTAAATCATATTCTTCGTAATTAAATAATTGGATTATATCTTATATTGAACCATAAGTTCAATTCAACTTTATTGTTAGGCATGACCAGTTGGATCATCGCTAGATTAATAATGATACAAAATTAAAATTTAAAATAAATATTCAATGAAGAACAAGAATATTCAATTCAATCCTATATGATGTTTGTTCTTTTTTATGAAAATTTTTCATTAACCATCACTAGCCAAAATTGGGAATAAATTCCCTATATTTTTGAAAATTAATTAGGATGATAAATGGGACCAAACCATTCCCATGTTGATCATCTAAATATTATCTATATCTAATATATTTGATACATATACTATATGATTCAATGGTTTTCACAACTTGAAGTTTGCGAAATATAGCTCAAATTTTAAATTATGAGCATTATTTTTAGATTATAATCAAGATCGTGTCTTGTTAATGCTAGTGGGTATAATTTTTAGATTATACTAGGATGTCGGTAAATAGTTTAATACTATTGCTTGTTAAATTCCTCCAATAAATTTATTTGAGAATAAAGTACTTTCCATTTTTGTTTACAAAATTCTATTACGAATCATGCCAATATCATAATTCTCCATATTATAATTGACTTATGATCAGAATCTAATGTTTTTGTCTAATTATTTTGATAGTGTAGTATATGTAAAATTGATCCAACACAATCTACTGATATGAAAAATAAAAAATGCTGAGAATAAATGCGTAGTTTAAACTTTTATCCTAAATGGAATTTGATTGGACAATTCTCTTAGTATTAGGGGATAAATTAAGAAATTGAAAATAATGCACAAATCCATCACTGTTTAAATTCTCGCAAAAGACAGTTCAAGCTAGAAATTCGAAAGATAATTTATTTAGATATATTTACTGATCAAAGAGATAAACAACACACAAATTTTAAATACTCCAGCACTAATTGATGTCCTAGGAGGACAATCTGATAGTAATATATTTGATATATTTATGGCACACCTGAAGCGTTATGATATTCGGTTCTAATACAAAAAAATTTTAAACAAAAAATGAGCAATTAGTAAAGATGGTCTTATTGAGTAGGTATGTACTTTTTATAGGTATTTTGACATAACAAATTATAAAAAATCTCATAAGAGGTTTAGGTAACTGGAATATTGAAACTTGAGATATCTCAATAAGTTATGTCACTATATAAAATAAATAGAATCATAAAAAAAAATTATCGACAATTCTTTTGCTGGTGATGTACTGCATTATATTATAAATATCGAGGACATCAAAATAAATTTGTCATCAATCAAAGTATTGATTGGTTAAATAAAATAATGCAATCTTAGGAAAAGAATCTGCTAGAGAAATTTGAAATTTTTAAACGCGATCCTAGTAAAATTGAATTTTTATTAGAGAAACTTGGAGTTTTTGGATTTACAATTTGAACATCAAAAGATGTATACTTATGCGAAATGAAAATAGAAAAGGTAAAGTCGTAATATGAAATGTACGACTTCTGCATAATAAATATCGTGAAAACTTATATAACTAGATAAGTTATCATGTGGTGGATGTAATCATGGGTCTCTACCTTATTAGAGCAACAATACATGAAATTTGATATGCATATTGTTGACCACCGAACTCCGATCTCATGATATTTGTCCGAGGGCCCATTTCAATCATATGTGAGTTAGGATTTTTCGTAGCTCGGATTAGACCCGCTGTAAACTCTGAAAACAGCATGATT